CTACCTCTGGCCTTGGATAAATTGCTTAGTCTCTCTCACCCTGTTTTCTCATTTCCTAAGTTCAGAGGGTCTGGAAGAGCCCTTTAAGCAGTGGCATTCCACAATCGCCCTGACCTCTGTGTGCTGTTCTCATGTCCCAAGAGAGCTTCTCTCTCTTTATGGTCAGGAACAATCAAATCAGTTGCGAAAGAGCCTGGCCAGTGACATTGCACCAGCATTTTCCTGAAACCTCTTTGCAAATGATTATTCAGCAAAAGGCTCGGTTAGGCAATAATCTCCTTGGCAAAGTCTCAATCACGGTGGAGAACAAGCTCAGTGACTTGCTCTATGATGTCTGCAAGTCTGAACGACTCCTGCATCACCACGGGAGCCAGAAAGGAGCTTGTTCCCATTAGGTAGCTCATCTTAGAACCATAAAATCTGAGGATTGCTAGAGAACTTAGAGGTCATATAATCCTCCTGTATACATCCACAGCACACATGTAGTATAAGGAAGGAACTTGGTGAGACCTGACCTATAGCAACGTCTATACATCACCCCATCATCAAGGGACTGTTTTATGTTCAAAAGTCATTTTCTTTAAGGGAATGACTATGTTTTACTCTATTTCAATGAATAACATACTTAAGAAATTGTTTATGGTGCTTCTTAAATGGATAATGGTCGCTTTCTGCGTTTTGTTGCAAACACGATGAGATTTAGTCTGCTTTGGAAACTTGACTCTCACATGACATCTACCAAAAAAAAAAAGTAATAGATTAACTTGAAGGTCGCAATGTCAGCTTTTTAAATATCTGGGGGTTGGGGCAGAATAGTTGCTTTCTAAGAACAATTGTGAACATTTAATTGCTGAAGAGACCAATGCTTGCCTCTCTTACATGACAATCAGAACACAAATGCTGTTTGTCGGCCAGAGAGCCGTGTTTCTGGTGCTGAAAGACAAGGGCATTGGTTTGACTTTGCACGTGTTATCCTTGAAGGCAATGCTGGCGGCTTACATTCCAGCCAGTGAGTGCTGGCTTTAGTATATTTTTCATCAATACGTCCTTCAGGTTAATTAAGACAACAAATCCTTTTGGCTATCGGGCCATATTACCTGAGTTGATAGATATTTCCGATTTTAAGGGCCTCCAAAGAGGATCATTATTGGAGTAACATTTGCAAAATTAAAATCTAGCATTCAGGATGAGGGAATGAGCATTGAACCGCAAAAACAATAAAATGCCCAGCAACCATTCGAAAGTGTTTGCTGTCATCTGCTGGCCAGACTGCAAAACTACAGCAACATTCAGGCGCCTGATGGGAAGTTGTCGCCGTTGGTAGAGAGAATGTCTGTGTTCGTGTTTGCTCTGCCCAAGCAAATAGGAACTGACCGTTCTTCGAGCAATGGTGATGCAATTTCTGAGGCCTGAGCGAGCTACATAAGCAATACATATTTAAAGGCAAAAATATGAGTAGACTTTCCTCAATTGCCTGAAAAAAACAAAAAGAGGAATTTTTTCTGTCGTCTCTTCCAAGTCTGAGATTTGGGTGTAATAGCTTAATACAAACACAGAAATTCTAGGTGGTTAGTCAGGAGACCCCCAGGTTCTAGTAGGGGTCACAGGGTGGAATGTATAGTAACCTTTCTGAACCTCAGTTTTCTCATTCATGAAACCAAAAATTACTAAACTCTCGTCAAGCTCTTGGAGTCTATAAAGGTCTTGTTATCTTTTCTGGACAAAGGTAACAATCCCACAGGTTCTTGCAGGCTGAGTCATTAGAAAGTCCAGCAGAGTGACTAGACACTGCCAGTCAGATTCCAACTGAAGTTTAAAGACATGAGACCCTTTGCGTAGATCAACTTTGAGAATAGCCATTTCCTTGGAGGTCAGTGATTTAAGATGGAAAGTGAAAGAGAAGTGGAGAGGTCTGTGCAATACCCGAAGAGAGGAATTGGACAGCTTTCCACCTTTCCTGCCAACTGAAGAGCAGACAGATGCTTCCAGCTCTCTTGGCTTTCCTTTCCACTTTCAGCCCCACCAGCAAATGAGGATTATCCTAGCAGGATTAATAAATCCTCTGAGGACAGGAGGAAAAAGAAAGAGGTGTTACCATACCCCTCCACACACACACACACGATGCTTGTGGTTGTTAATTATTTTTCTACATAATAAAATGTATTATAATAAACCTTATAATGACCTATGAAAATTTACATGGCACATATTAATATCTTAGAACCTATGTTTGGTTGCCGGCCCCTTGCCTGATGATGGCAAGATTTCTAACACAACACGAAATGTTGTGCTTGTTTCTTTTCTTCAAGTATTCTGACATCTGGACTGGAACACCTGCCATGCGCTGGCCATGTGCTAAGCAATGAGGGTCTTCAGCAGTGAGTAAGACAGATGTAGTTCCCACCCTCATGGAAGACAGTCTATCTGAGACAGACACATAAAACAGAAACTAACTGGGCTTGGTGGTTCACACCTGTAATCCCAGCACTTTGGGAGGCTAAGGTGGGAGGATCACTTGAGCCCAGGGTTTCAGCACCAGCCTGAGAAACATAGCAAGAGTGTTTCTTTAAAAAAAAGAAAAAAAGCCAAGCATGGATGCATGTCTGTGGTCCCAGCTACAGAGGAGGCTGAGGTGGAAGGATTGTGTGAGCCCAGGAATTAGAGGCTGAGCCATGATGGCACCACTGCACTGTAGCCTGGGCAGCAGAGTGAGACCCTGTCTTAAAAAATAAAAATTAAACCAGAAACAACAAAAGCAATGAGGACTAAGAGGAATGCAAGGTGTTTCTTTTTCACGCTTGCCCATTTCCTTGTTATCTTTGTGAGCTCCTAAAAGGCCTGTTCAGCAACCGGAACCACTGCTTAGTGCCACTGGCACTAAGTGTAATAGACAGAAATAGTCCTTCTCCAGGGTGTCCATCTGGAAGCCACTGGCCCACTTGGGCAGCAGATAGCAGTTAAGAAGGAAAGGTCATCACAAAACTCTGAATTTTTAGAAGCAGAAATAACCCTAGAATCAGGTTTTGGGAGTTATAAACCCACAGTTCTCATAGGCTTTAATTCTATGACATAAGAATTATCTCAGGTAAGTCCCCTTATCTGACAAATGGAGAAGCAGCTCAGATTTCTCATGGGGATAGAGACATGATAGATGTGAAAACCTTTCAAAAGTTAAAAGGGCATAAATGAAAATTATTATTGATAATATAGTAAGAAGTGCTTACAAGCAAGGCATGGTGACTCATGCCTGTAATCCCAGCACTTTGGGAGGCTGAGGCAGGAGGATTGCTTGAGGCCAGGAGTTTGAGACCAGCTTGGCTAATGTAGTGAGACTCCAATTCCACAAAATATTTTTTTAAAAAAACAAATTTCAATTAGCTGGACGTGGTGGTGTGCACCTGTAGTCCTAGCTACTCAAGAGGCTGAGGAGTGAGGATGTCTTGACCCCAGGAGTTCAAAGTTTGCAGTGAACTGTGATTGTGCCACTCCAGCCAGGACAACAGAGTCACACCCTGTTTCTAAAAAAATTTTTTAAAAGATGTGCTTATGATAAATCATAAAACAAATTCTTCTTTTGTCGTTTTTTGTTTGGCGTGCGGGGCGAGAGCAGAGTCTGCTCCTGTCACCCAGGCTGAGTCAGTGGTGCAGTCTTGGCTCACCTGCACTCCATCTCGCACAATCAATACTTTCATGCACTCGACAACGAGTTTTTTGGGTTTTTTGTTTTGTATTTTTTATCAGTAGAGGCCGGGCGCGTTCAGCGCATTTCGGCCATGCTGTTCAACCCTGACCCAAAGTGATCCACCGTGCCACTCAGCCTCAAACAATAACAAATTTCCAAATCCCTTTTCAAAATTTAGTCATTTCTAAAAAGTACCTCCTAATTTTACCAACCATAATTCTTACCACATAAATGCACATATTTTAGAGGATTTTTTTAAAATTGTCCTGATCAGGTCGGGCTTGACTTCCTACACACATCGACAAGCTGGAATATCATGCTCTCGAAAACTGGGCCCTTCTTTCTAGCCGCACCACAAATTCAGAAAGAGATTCCAGTATCATCCAAGATCTCTGCTGCGTCGAGTACGCAAACACCGCTTCTTTAACCCAGTCGGGTCCTGGGAATACGATAGCCAAGGGTGGCAGACACGAGGCGTTCGGTACTTCACCGCTGTCTCGCATTTCCAGCCACTTAGCTGGACCCGGCCGCCAGCTTCCTGCGTACTATGAACCATTGCTACACCCTTAGGTTCAGCCACCAGACATATCAAGCGTATCGCCCAGTGGGGTTCTAATGAGGGAGAGCGATAGAAACCACGAACCTCTTCCAGTAACCGCATTCACCATGCGCGCAGGGGTGAGATTGCACAGCTTAGTGTGCATTAAAAACGCAAGATGGCCGACCCGGTGGCTCACGCCTGTAGAGACCACACTTTGAGGCCGAGGGCAGCGACAGCGATCACGAGCAGAGATCGGAGACCATCCTTATCCTGCTAACACAGTGAAACCGCTTACTACAAAATTACAGGCCAAAATTCACCGCTGCCTGTGCGCCGCTTAGTTTGATACTCGGAGAGTGCGGTCGAGGCAGAAATGCGCGTGACACCTCGCGGAGGCGCGAGCTTTGCATGACAGGGAGATCTCGCCACGCATGGCACTCCAGGCCTGCCTACAGTGCAACCGTTCAAAACAAAAGAAACAAAACGCAAATGGAATCTATATCAAGTTACATAAAGACATACGCTAATCCAGAATGACCGGCCAAAGCCTCTCTCTACATACGCTGTGAAAAAAATTAACTGACTCTGCCAATCTGGAGAGACGTGATTCAATGTTATTTTGGTTAAATTTTAATGGAAATATCCAAAAACACCAACTCAGACAAGTGGTGAACAGAGTAGCCGTGGAGTATTTATTTCTTCTCTATGTTTATATTGCAATTGAGTGCAGAATTTGGGATAAATGGATTCCTTTCCTTCTTTGTGTTCTCTCCCCAGTATGGGAAGACTCTCTATGATAACTACCAGCGGGCAGTGGCAAAGGCTGGACTTGCCTCTCGGTGGACAAACTTGGGGACAGTCAATGCAGCTGCACCAGCTCAGCCATCTACAGGTACTAAATGGAGGAGAAATTCCAACACATATTCAAAGCTCAGTGCTCCTGTTCAAAACGTATCCAACACATCTATACAAACAGAACTTTGTAGACGGCTTCGGAATATGTTTTCTTTTTTCTTTTCTTTTTTTTTTTTTTGAGACAGAGTCCGCACTGTCGCCCAGGCTGGAGTGCAGTGACGCAATCTCAGCTCACTGCAAGCTCTGCCTCCTAGGTTCACCCATCTCCTGCCTCAGCTTCCCGAGTAGCTGGGACTACAGGTGCCCACCACCACGCCTGGCTAATTTTTTGTATTTTTAGTAGAGGCAGGGTTTCACTGTGTTAGCCAGGATGGTCTTGATCTCCTTACCTCGTGATCCACCCACCTCGGCCTCCCAAAGTGCTGGGATTACAGGCGTGAACCACCACACCTGACCTGTTTTCTTTTTCTTCTTTGCTTTTTTTTTTTTTTGGAGGTAAGGTCTTGCTCTGTCTCCCAGACTGGAGCCCTGTATCTATTTAAGTGACTTTTAAGAAAGTTTTGACCACTTATTTTATGATATTCTGTGGATAAGGTGCTGATCTCCTGTTTAGGGTGAGCTCGTAGGTGGATGTTTCTTATCAGAGTACAAATATTATATTAATCCAAGGCTCCATTAGTGCCCAGAAAATTGTCCACATGAAGAATGAGATTATGTCCCAGTGTTTTGACATCTTGCACCCAGTCCTGAACAGCATATTTGAAGGTAACATGAGTCAAAGTTTCGTGTCAAAGGGACAAATTAAAAGGCACGAAAATAAACTAGCATACCAGGACTTTGGGGCGGGAAAAAAAACCACATCTAATTCCAGATTATTTCAGGGACCTGCACATTTTGCCCAAATTTCTGTCCATTGTTTCTGTGTCCAATGTACTTTTTGTTGAGGACAATGTTGAAGAGTTGTTCCTGTATTCAGTGTGGTATGAAACTGGATAGATATATTTTTAAAAAATCAAGAAGAATTTTTTAAAACATGTTTTCAAGGTTTATTCTTCAATTACTGAAAAGTTTTTAAAAGTAAAACATATTGTTACTCTCCAGGATCCCAGTTAATCCAGATCCTCCTCGGTGGGCTTTATCAAATACCACCCTCACCTTCCTGAATCTTTTGCTGAATCTCCTATAAAGTTTTGTCACAGAACCTCAGATTTTTCATAAGGTTTTGTGTACCATGCCATGCCTGTGAATTGCTCTCTTTGCTTTGTTTTTATTATTTTTTTTTGGTAAGAAGTAACCAGCAAGTATCTTTCTTTGCTTTAGAGATGTAAACTGCTTTGTATTTTCAGATTAACTTTCAAGAATGTTGAAAATGCTTTGCTCGCTCTTCTTTTCTCGCTTCCTCCCTCTCAGGACCTATAAATGGCACCGCCCAGCCCAATGGACAGATGCCCCAGGCTGCACATTCTGTCAGTGCTGTTCTGCAAGAGGCCCGGCGACATGCTGAAACGTCAAAGGTAAAACCAGCAAGCAGCTGATATACATTCCGTCAGCCCATGTTTCCAAAGCCCATGTTCTCAACCATTCGCATTGTTCCAATAACTGCTCTTTTAAAAAGCCGGGTGCAGTAGCTCACACCTGTAATCCCAGAACTTTGGGAGGCTGAGGCAGGAGGATTGCTTGAGCTTCAGGTCGAGACCAGACTGGGCAATATAGAGAGAGCTCGTCTCTACTAGAAAAAAAAAAAAAAAATTAGCCAGGTGTGGTGGCATGCACCTGTAATCCCAGCTACTGGGGAGGCTGAGGTGTTTGACTGGCTTGAGCCCAGGAGATCAAGGCGGCAGTGATCTGTGATCACGCCACTGCATCCAGCCTGGGTGACCGAGTAAGATCCAGTCAAATAAATAAATAAATAGAAAATGTAGTTCCAACAACTGAAAAGTTACTACAATTTAATTTAGTTCATTGCTTGATATTTGTAATCTTAAAGTTACATATGCTAGAATCAAAAGTTAAAACCAGCTATCATCACACTGCCTAGGAAAAATGTAAGCATTTCCTTAATATTCTGAAGTTAATTAGCTATGTTTACTTTGACCAAAGTGGTTTTCTTGGTTTAGTCAAGTGATTTTAGCCCTCTCTGATAGTAGCACATCCAAGTTTTAAACGCTTGGGATTTTACTTGCCTTTTTTGAGTAAAATAGGGCAACTAGTAGTCTGAAGCCCTATATGAAGCGTTAACTGGCCCCCAAAATCAGATTAGAAGACTGTTAAAAGAGTTACACTGTAAATAGGGCTGGGCACAGTGGTGAGCACCTGTAGTCCCAACTACTTGGGATGCTGAGGCAGGAAGATCACTTGAGCCCAGGAGTTCAAGGCTGCAGTTGAGTTCTGGTTGCACCACTACACTGCAGCCTGGGTGACAGATAAAGACCCTGCCTTAAAAAAAAGAAAAAAGACAAAAAAGGGTTTCACTAAAAATGTGCATTTTCTATTTTCCCCATTAGTGTCCTTCCTACATACATCCCCAGGTGACAGAGGAGAAAATACATTGTAAAATAATAGCCAAATTGGTATAACATTCTCCATAAAATTTTTTCAACCAAATAGATCAATGAGGATTCCTTTAAATCTATCTTAAAATCATAGCTAATAATTATGATTTAGTTACTAATTTAGTTCAGAACTTCTCAGCTGACTGTATAAATTCTGTCGAATATTTCTCTTGTGTGATTCAAAACAACCTTAAATAACTGTGACAACAGCATGTCACCCAGCTAGGACAGGCAGGGTTCTTTAGCAATTTTTCACTTCTTTTGCCCCTTCATTTTTTCCATCAGCCAGTCATGAAAACAACTAAATCTTGGTATTTATTGAACTTCTTATAATTTTGACAACCACTGCAGGCCTGTAAAAGTTGTATTTCTTTAATGTTCTCATTATCTTCTCAAGCCTGACAATCTCCTCATGCAATGTGCTTTCAGCTATTATTATTTTCATTATTTCTATAATGTCAGTTGAAGGAAAGCATTTAAAAATGCTGAAAAAAATAAAAGAATCCCAGAATAGAAATCACTTAACTATATGTGAACATCAATTCCCAAGCTGCCTGCTCAGAAATTTAAATAAAAAGAAAAAATACATCACCAGTTAAATAGCTTATCATGCGAATAAACTAAATAAAACAGAAACTAAATCAGAAGGCACTTTATTAGAAAAAAATTCCAAATTTAATCTTCAATGGTAAGAGGCTACTAAGCAGAGAACGAAATAAACTGGAACCCTGATAAACTGTAAATTGAAATGATAATTATCACTAAAATGGATTCAATCCAGTTGCCTGGGGATGTTTCATTATGTAAATTATTATTATCTCTTCCAACATTGGCAGAGGAAGGGCTATGCATCTATTAGACTTAGGCCAAATTTGGCGTGCTGGTTTCTACCAATAGCACATGCTGGTGATATTACTTTTCAGAACTCACATATTTATCTCATTTGATCTCATCACAACCTGAGACACAAGTCATAATAAGGACTATGGGGCTAATTTTATATCCAGTGAACCAGTCAACTTTCATGCAGTTGAGAAATGGTAAACTGTCCAGACATGGTGGCTCATGCCTATAATTCCAACACTTTGGGAGGCTGAGGCGGGCAGAGTACCTGAATCCAGGAGTTGGAGACCAGAGTGGCCAATATGGTGAAACCCCGTCTGTACAAAAAAATACAAAAATTAGCTGGGGCTGTTGGCACACAGCTAATTGGGAGGCTGAGGCATGAGGATTGCTTGAACTCGGAAGGTGGAGGTTGCAGTGAGGGGAGATCCTGCCACTGCACTCCAGCCTTGGTGACAGAACAAGACTCTGTCTCAAAAAATAAATAAATAAATAAATAAATAAATAAATAAATAAATAAAAATAAAATAAAGAAAAAGTAAACTTACAGAGACCAGATGCCTTGTTCTGATTTCTGGCCCACCACACTGCCTTCCCTGAAGCTGTGAGGCCAGCTGGAGCCAAGCTTGCAATCGGCTCTTCCCTAAAAGCCCACAGTCCTGGCGAAAGGCACCTGTGTTCTCAGCTCATCAACACAAGGAGACATTGTCCCCAAGATCAGGCAAAAAGGTCTTTGCCAGGAAACATATCCTTTGTGCCTACGTTTGCACAAAGCTGTAGCCAAGAGAGAATTGTTTCCATTCACTTCTCCCCCATCCTAATCAGAGTAGTACATTTAAGCCAGGAGACTGTGTGGAGGTTTTGGGAAGTCCTCAACCCCCAGGAGTTGCCGTGTGTTTCTACTGTGTGTTGTGTGGAATAGGAGCAAGATAATTTTACAGCTGCTTACTCCTGACACGAGCTTCACAACCAGCTCAACTCAGACCAAGAAAAAATGCACCCCTTCCTATATGCCGAGGACTCTGGTGGCTTGGCTTGGGAACCAAAGAGTGAAGTCATTTGGCTTCCATTTTGAAGGAATGAATGAGCCGAGGGTGGTTTATAGACTGAGGCAACCCCACAGGAGATACACCATGAAAGCCCCTTTAGAGACACACAGCAGCTCCTGGATAAGGCAGGTTCCAAGGAGGTGATACTCGTATGATCTAAATACAACACACTTCATTGAACATGGCCAGATCTTCCATTTAGAGTAGACTTGGTAGATGAGTGCCACAGGGTGACTGAACCCAGGTTCGGCTGCTCACCACTTAAAAGCCAGACTCAAGAGATTAGGGATGATGGGAGGAAAAGCTGGTTTATTTGGAAAGCCAGTAACACTATGAAGATGGTGGACTAGTGTTCTGAAGTACAATCTTCAATTTTTCAAGCTAACTGGAGGAGTTTAATGGGTGTGGGATATGGGGAAGAGGAGTGAGTTGGGGAAAGAGTTGAGATCAAGGGATGACCAGAGACTGCAGACATCTGGGTGCCAACAAGGGTCCAAAGAGGTTGGGAACTTCTCTGTCCTTGGTCAGGTCACAATGGTCATATAAATCTTTAACAAAACATAGTTGTTTACTTCTCTAATCCCAGAGTTAGTTTTTAAAACTACGTGATTGCTGGGTTTGCATGTTTATCTCAATGCTCTAAAATTATCCTTGCCTATGTGCAGGAATGGGTAAAGGTCACTTTAAACAAAAATGAAGTTAGTTACATTTGTTTTTATGCTGTTCCACTGTGACAACAGGAAATACTGTTAAAGGCCATTTGGGCCAGGTGGGGTGGCTGTAATTCCAGTTACTCAGGAGGCTGAGGCAGGAGGATCACTTGAGGCTAGGAATTTGAGACTAACCTGGGCAACACAGTGAGACTTCGTCTCTAAAAATATATATATAGAGAGAGAGACATAGTCTTGCTATGTTGTCCAGGCTGGAGTGCAGTGGCATGATCTCAGCTCATTGCAGCCTCCACCTTCCAAGCTCAAACAATTCTTATGCCTTAGCCACCCCAGTAGCAGGGACTACAGGTGTGTGCCACCATACCAGGCTAATTTTTGTATTTTTAAAAGAGACAGGGTTTCACCATATTGTTCAGGTTGGTCTTGAACTCCTAGACTTAAGTGATCCACCTGCCTGGGCCTCCCAAAGTGCTGAGACTATAGGCATGAGCCACCATGCCCAGCCAAAATATTAAAAAATTAGAAAAATGATTATTTTTAATTTTAAAGACCATTTGGAATAATTGCCATATTCCAGAACAAAGATGAGCTCATGAACAACCAGGAGTCTCAGTGACTGAGGGACAGAGGCTCCCCAGGGGGCAGACAGAGACTCCCATATCTATGGCATGGTCCTGTCCACTAGGGCTATTTTGTCCACTGGGGCTGTTTTGAGAATAAAGAATGCGACTCGGGAAGTTGAGGCGGGAGGAGCGCTTGAGCTCGGGAGGTCGAGGCTGCAATAAGTCCAGATCGCGCCACTGCACTCAGCCTGGGCGACAGAGTGAGACCCCGTCTCCATTAATTAATAACAATAAATTTAACATTTCAAAAATTAAAAAAAAAAAAAAAGAATGCTGCTGTCATTCGGTTGCAGGATAAGAAGCCAGCCCTCGGGAACCACCACGACCCGGCAGCGCCCCGGGCCCCGCACGCCCCCAAGTCCAGCCTGCCCCCGCCACCTCCGGTGCGGAGGTCCTCGGACACCAGCGGCAGCCCCGCCACGCCCCCCAAGGCCAAGGGCACAGGCGGCGGGGGCTTCCCCGCCCCACCCGACGACTTCCTGCCGCCGCCGCCACCGCCGCCGCCCCTGGAAGACCCTGAGCTCCCGCCGCCCCCCGCGGAGTTCTTGGAGCCGCCCCCGGACTTCGTGCCCCCGCCCCCGCCGTCGTGTGCAGGGAACGCGGGCTCGGAGCTGCCCCCGCCGCCGCCGCCGCCGCCCGCGCCCGCCCCCGACTCCGCCAGGCCGTCTCCCGCGGTGGCCAAGAGGCCTCCTATGCCCCCCAAGAGGCACGAGAACCCAGGGACCCCCAGCGGGGCAGGAGGAGGGGAGCAAGATTTCATGTCAGACCTCATGAAAGCTTTGCAAAAGAAGAGAGGTAACGTGTCCTAGGGAGGGGCATGGTGAGTGTGCCAGAGGGAGAAGCACCGCTGACCCGGAGCGCAGGTTTTGCTAGTAGATTACCCTGACATTTTGTTCATTTCAGATAAAATGTGATGGGAAACTTCTCACTGTTGTGCTCAAGTGCAGCCATAAACATTAACCCAATAGAGTTCAGAATATCTGCCCAAATGTACATATTGCTCCTATGTATTTTCACCTAAACAGAATGTACCTTCCCTTCCAGGTTACCTAAAGTGCTGTTTTAGGTTCATTTATTTTACTATGTTAAGAAGCATCATATGAATAAAAGTTAAACGTTTTTCCTGAAGATGGTATTTCTAGAAAGATTATTGGGTCCTTCTATCTTGAAATCAACACTATAATTAAAAATAGCTTTCAACATTCCATGCCTTCTTAAGTCTTGGTGACCTCAGATAGATTTTTCATCTCTACCTCTATAACCTTCAGAATTTGCAGGAAAATCGAGAGAGGAGAACGAGAAAACGTGACAAGCAGAGCCTGTTTCCTTTCCCTGGAATTCGGTTGCTTGATTGATTGGAGTCCTGGACACAGGCTGTTTTGGTTTTGCTTTTATAATGCTTGAATTAATTGAAAAATACAGTTATTTAGATAGTTTTTGAATTCTCTTATTATTACAATGCTGTAAGTATCCTGTAAATAAAAATGTAGGGGCAGGAAAAGGCAATCCTATGTATATTCTTCAACCTGAAATGTTTTCCCTCAGAGATAAGTTTAACGCCCAGTTTATCCTAGGTTCTTGGTACCTATATCTCTTCTCTTTCAAATTGGCTTCTGATAGGCCTTTTGCATTTTCTTAATTTTATTTATATGGCTCTATTTTTGTTTTTGTATTTTTGTGTTTTTTTTTAACTGTAAAACTCCTCAAAATCTTCTTAGAGTGGAAAATAATAATGCATTTTTTTAAATAAAGGAAGATAATGCTATGTTTTAATATTTGGAGAAAAGTAAGCTCTAAATCATGCTGTCTCAACTCACGGGCTGCAGGTGGCCCAGGACCCGTTCGAATGCTACCCAACACAAATTAAAATATTAGGAGCTCTTGGCAGGGCACGGTGGTTCACACCTGTAATCCTAGCATTTTTGGGAGGCGGACTCAGATGGATGAATTGAAGTCAGGAGTTTGAGGTCAGCTTGGCCAACATGGCAAAACCTTGTCTATACTGAAAATACAAAAATTAACCAGGTGTAGTGGCGCATGCATGTAATCCCAGCAACTCCAGAGGCTGAGATGGGAGAGTCCCTTGAATCCAGGAGGCGGACACCACAGTGAGCTGAGATCATGCTACTGCACTCTGCTAGGAGACGGAGCCAGACACTGTCTCAAAAACATTACGATATTTTTCTCAATTTTTTTTGTGTGTGTTGTTGTTCATCACCTATCATCACTAGTGTTAGTGCATTTTATATGTAGCTTAAGACAATTCTTCTTCCAGTGTGCCCCAGGGAAGCTACAAGATTGGACGCCCCTGAAGTCTAAATGAACCTTTAAAAAGAAAAAAAAAATAGTTTTAAAAGCAAAATATTTAGTAATTAAAACTGGCAGGGTGCTCTTAATTTTTTCTGGGGCATATGCTTGAAATAGGATAGAAGGTAAATTTGCTTTACATTCAATTTAATCTCATCAACAGTAACTCCAGTTCTCATTTTATTATGTTCCTTTTGATATCAGATGCGGTAAAAACACCATTTTTCTGATACCTAACTAAATCATGGTCATTATGCAGATCTCTGGTACAATACAGGAAAGATGTCAGCAAAGAGACGTGTGAAAATTGTCAGAATCAAAATGGAGTCACTTACATTAAGAAACTGCTGACAGACAGAGCCAGCCAAGTCCAGGAAAATAGTTTTCGTGAGGATCCTATTCTGTGATTTTCATTCAACTGTAATGCAATCTTTGGTGTCTGGCTGAAAGGTCTTTACAAGTATTACCCATACCTGAGTAGGATTATTTAGATCCTGAAAATGCAGCAAAATTTGTTTCTCTATGAAAAGTTTAGTGAGATATTTGCATGTGGTGCAGGGAGTGGAAAAACTGGAGTGAAATTGGGAACTAGAGAAGGAGTATGTGGATAATATATGTTATGAATAATAATATATAATCAATAATATAGGACAGTAATCCTGTATCACAGCTTATAAAAACTCCATAATTTCTTGTATAATGCTACTAATGGGCAAAGACCCATGTAATAGGCCAATTGCAACACAAACCACAGCATTTGGTAGTTTACAGAAGATCTGTTTACAGATTTAACCTGCCACATGATAGACTATGAACTAAGATTTTACAGTAGGTCCTCAAGGAGGAGAATGAACATTTAAGCCTCATATTTTGTTTGATCATAGGAATCTTGGCTGGTATGATACTGAAATGACCCGAGTCCATGAGAATTGAGCCTTTGAAGTGTGCTTGAGACTTATGGCTTGATGTGTGATCCATTTTTACAGATGGTTTATGTGTGCTTGGGTACAACGTACTATACATGTTCCTTAGCACAAGCTTGTTAAGCATGTTGCACAAATCTTCTGCCTGCAGCCTGTTATCTGGTCTGTTGCATCCATCAATTACTAAGAAGGACGTTTTAAAATCTTCTGAGGGCAGATTTGTCAATATCTTTTCATTGTTCTGGCAAATTGTGCTTTATATATTCCAACACTGTTTATTATTAAGTGTGAACAAAAATTCTGTATGTGACTTCCTGGTGAATTGAACTATCGATCACCATGCAATGCTTTCTGCTTTTTATCTTGTGCTCACGCAGCTGTACTGTCTTTTTTCAGGTATTTCCCTGACAAATCTGTTCATTCACTTTCAAACTCTCTATGCTTTTATGTTCTACATTTGCCACTTGTAAATGACATATAAGCAGATTTTGTTGTCTTTATATCTAGTTAGTAATTATTATCTTTTAACTGCAAGTTTATTCTTTTTAAATTTTTTAAATTTTCTTTTTTTTTTTTTTTTAAATTTTTAGAGACAGGGTCTCATTCTGTCACCCAGGCTGGAGGACAGTGGTGCGATCATGGCTCACTGCAGCCTCGACCTTCTGGGCTCAAGCCATCCTCTTGCCTCAGCCTTCCAAGTAGCTAGGACTACAGGCTCATACCACTATGCCCGGCAAATTTTTTTTAAAGTAGATATGGGGGTCTCACTATGTCGCCTAGGCTAGTCTCTAACCGCTGGCCGCAAGCAATTCTTTTGTCTTAACCTCCCAAAGCGCTGGAATTACAGACATGAACCAAAATGCCCAGCCTGTTATTTTTACTCTGAATATGACTGTATATTTTGTTTTTAACATCTTATTTTGTACTTACTATTACCTCGGATTTTTCTGGGTTTTTTTTTTCTTCCTTTCTTGTCTACTTCATGTGGTTAGAATTTTTCTCTCATTCTCTTTTTTTTTTTTTTTTTTGAGGCGGAGTCTCGCTCTGTCGCCCAGGCTGGAGTGCAGTGGCGCGATCTCGGCTCACTGCAAGCTCCGCCTCCCAGGTTCCCGCCATTCTCCTGCCTCAGCCTCCCGAGTAGGTGGGACTACAGGTGCCCGCCACCACGCCCGGCTAATTTTTTTGTATTTTTAGTAGAGACGGAGTTTCATTGTGTTAGCCAGGATGGTCTCGATCTCCTGACCTCGTGATCCGCCCGTCTCGGCCTCCCAAAGTGCTGGGATTACAGGCTTGAGCCACCGCGCCCGGCTCTTATTCTCTTTTTGAAGCTTCTTGTTGAAAACTTATATACTGTATGTATTCTTTTAATAGCTACCTGTAATGATAATATCCATACTCAGTAAAGTCTCAAGGTACACAACTTTAACCTGGGAAACGCATGGACTTTGGATCACTTTGATTTCAAACACACACACACACACACACACACACACACACATTATTGTCTAGTATTTGAGGTATAGCTGAGTATCTTTTTCCTACAATATCTTTATTTCACCCTCATTCTTCAAAGATGATTTCAGTGGACGTAAAATTTAAATTGACAGTAAAAACTCTTCGTTTTTTTAGGGGATTGTCCCCACTGTCTTCTCCCTTTCACTGTTGCTGTTGAGAAGTCAGCTATCAAATTATTATTTCTATTAGGTCATCGCTTTGTTTCCCCTCTGCATGATTTTAAGACCTTTTCTTTGTCTTTGGTGCATATAGTGGGTCTAACTCTGAATTTCTTTTACTTAAGTTGCCTGATAATTCATTGAGTTTTCTGAATCTACAAATATCTGCCTTTCACTATTCCGGAAAATTGTAATTTATTTTGTTTTCAAACATTGCTTCTCCTTTTTCACTTCTTCTGAAACTCTAATGAAATGTGTTAAATCTTCTAACACTAGCTTCCTTATCTCTAAACTTTGTGTATTTTCTATTTCTTTATCTATTCTGGATATATTCATCAGATCTTAATTCCCATTCACCAGTTCTTTCTTCAGCATAGTCTAATCTATGTTAAAGCCAACCATTTTTGGTTTTTTTTTTTTTTTTGATATAGACTTTATGTTTTAGACCAGTATTAGATTCACAGGAAAACTGAGCAAACAGTACAGGGAGTTCCCATTTGCCGCCTGCCTTACACATTCAGTCTCCTCCGCTACCACAATTCTACAAAAATAGCACTGTAACAATTGATGAACCTACATTGACACATTGTTAGCATCCAAAGTCCATAGTTTACTTAGGGTTTACTCTTGAGGTTGCACAATCTGTGGGTTTTCAGAAATGTACAATGACATGTATCCACCATTATAGGATCAAATAGACTAGTTTCAGTGTCCTAAAAATCCTGTGTTCTGTCTATTAATCTCTCCCTCCCCTTTAAACCCTGGCAATCACTGATCTTTTTCATTGTCTCCGTAATTATACCTTTTGCAAAATATTATATAGTTGGAATCATACGTATGTAGCCGTTTCAAATTGATTTATTTTCCTTGGCAATATGCATTTATGGTTCCTCCATATTTTAGTCTATTTTCTATTACTATAACAGAATACCTGAGATTGTGTATTCATAAAGAAAGAGAATTATTTTAGATCATGGTTCTGAGGCTGGGAAGTCCAAAGAGATGGTGCTAGTGCCTGGGGAAGGCCCACTGACTGCATCATATAACATGGCAGATGAGCAGAATGAGAAGTGGGTGCATGCAAAAAAGGGACCGACCAGGAGAGGCAACCTTGATTATGACAGCCCACTCTCGTGGTAACTAATCCATTCCCATGAGAACTAACCCTGAAAGAGATTAATCCATTTTAATGATCTAATCATCTCTTAAACCACCTCCCAGCACAGCCACATTGAGAATCAAGACTAAACATGAATTTTGGAAGGGCCAATCCGTATTCAAAGCATAATACATACATCT